CGCCGACATCTTGTAAAATTGTAATAAAAATTTTTCCAGATGGGAGAATTTCCTTCCCAGTAAATATGTCATTTTAAGGCCATCAATTCGCTAGCTTATTTATTTTGGATCACCCTAATATACTTATATGTATATACAAGAAATAAGAATAAGTGACAAATTACCCGGAAAACAACCCCCAAAAAAAAAGTCGGGATCCGCAGCTGGGCCTGTGTTATTTTTGATTATGTACTTGGGTGTGAAATAACACATTTTCTAAAAAAATTAGGCATATTTGCGCTCCAATGCAATGAACATATTTGATTTAAGTAAGCTGACCAACCGTCCTCCATTGAAGAGGATTGTCCTCCTCAACCGCGATTTGTCCTCCTCAAAAATATTGTCCTTCTCTGTCCTCCTTTTGATTAAAAATTTCATCTTTGTCCTCCTTTTCAAGTTTTATAGCAGTGATGAAATTTAAAAAAAAAATTAATACTAGATATTATTACATATTTCGTAATCGTACGCAATCGTTGTATTTAAAGGGCGTTTATATTGCTCAACTTTCAGCTAAGTGATGAAAACTTTTGCCTTATAGCTCATTTCCACCAAGTCTTAACTGCAGTTTAAGCCTATTGCAAAAAGGAGATTACAACTCGAAGGGGGTAATTCCTCCTACAAAGTAAAGCAAACGAAAGGACAAAAGCAAACACTAACAGGCCTATTCTGCACGTTAAGGAAGATCTTGTAACTGAAAACTTTTATTACCAAGAAATGTTACTAGTTCTTGTCACCGCCATTCTAGGTACGTCGGTAATGCAGTTAAAATATTTAGCAATTCAGCTATGAAGAATTGTGGAAATTTTTGCATTGCATATTTCATGGTGCAATATTTTGTTACCAGCGTATGACATGGTAACAAATTTTATCGGTTACAAGAGGACACAGAATGCTAAAACGGTTTAAAAATTGACAGGAACTTTATATACCGGTTACAAAATTTTTATTACCAGTGCAAATAGACCTGTAAGAAATAAAAATTGCCGCTCACCCCATGTTGAAATTCTTGGAACTTATCTGAACTCATAACTGCAGTTAAGCCTCTGGTGGAAATAGGCTATTAATCAATAATATTTAATACCGCTTTCCCACGGCACCCCAATTTCGTAGTTTGCTCTCTCATTCATGATCCGCACTCCAATTTCCCTTCGAATTACGTAATTCGCCATACAAAATTTTGAGAGCGAATTACCTCATTTGCTGGCAATTCAGATCCAATTACCATGCGAATTACAAACAAATCGCTGCCGTCTATAATTTTTATCGGAAATTTATCGAAACCAGTTCACAAAGCAAAACTGGCACTTTTTCTGAGTCCGAAAAGTAAAGTTTATAAATGTGTACATCACCAATTTAATACGGAAACTTATAAATTTTTAGCAGTAACTTACATTTTGCATAAATTTTATAGCGAAAAAAAAACACAGAGATGGTAATTGGAGGAGCGAACAAAGTATTTACGGTGCCGTGGGTTTCCGGGAAATTTTGCCTCTTATTCTTATTACTTTAAACCAGTAGGGTGGTCTAAAATAACTAATCTAGCGAATTTATTATCTATTTACTGAGAAGGAAATTTTTATTTCAATTTTAAAAGGTGTCGGTGAGCATTTGCAATTTCCTATGTAAATAACATGTAAAAAAGATTTGATTAACAATGTTATACATTTTGAACCGTTAAAGAGGTTATAAAAAAGGGATAAAAGTTTTTCAGAGCATTTTCTAGTAGGGGATTAAATTCTCTAAAATTACCCTGAAGTTGGTTGTCTTAGGGAAGATGAAGAATATTAGATAAATATGTTAATGATATTGCTGGACGAGGTGTAGCGTTGGTACAAAATTATAATCGAAACTTGACGAAAGACGAAGAACAAAAGCAATTTCTTTTGCAAATAATACAATGACAATTAAATAATTTAAAAACAAGTAAGAAAGTCTAAGTTCGGGCGGAGCCGAACATTAAATACCCGGCGCAAGTATTAAATATATGTTTTTCACCTTTAAGAAAGCTACCGCTACATGGTAAGCCGGGGTGTACCAATTTTGAGTAAATTAGCGTCCTTAAATTTCGAAATATTTAAGTTTCAAGTATTTCTGAAATTTACCGTTATATAAAAAGCGGCCGTAATTTTAGTTCGATTTCAATAATTTTCAACATTTTGCTTTTATGTGGCAAGCACAATGACCATACCGAGTTTGGTACAAATTGGTATAACGGTTACCGAGATACATATATGTGATCATAAGTGGGCGGTGCCACGCCCATTTACCAAAATTTTATCACAAACGTATTTCTTGGTTAAGAATTGTTGCAAGCATCAATTTTCAATAAATTAGCTTTAATATTTCCTCATTTATCGAAGATTTTGTATTTCTCTAAATTACCATTATATGGGATGTGGGCATGGTTATTGACCGATTTTAAAAATTTTCGGCCATTGGTTACGCCCATTTTCCAAAAATTTATAATATTCTTATTTTTCGTCTAAAACTTATTGTCAATATCAACTTTGAGTGAATAATCTTCAGTAGTTACTAAAATATCGCAGTTTTCGTATTTCTGAAAATTACCGTTATATGGGAGGTAGGCGTTTTTATTGTCCGATTTTAAAAATTTTCGGCCATTTCGTATACTATACCAAGGTCAACAACTGCGCCAAGTTTGGAAGAAATTGGTTCAGCGGTTACCAAGATATACACATGTAACCATAAGTGGGCGTGGCTACGCCCATTTTCCAAAAATTTATAATATTCTTATTTTTATCTAAAACTTATTGTAAATATCAATTTTGAGTGAATAATCTTCAGTAGTTACTAAAATATCGCAGTTTTCGTATTTCTGAAAATTACCGTTATATGGGAGGTAGGCGTGGTTATTGTCCGATTTCGCCCATTTTCAATACCATCCGTCCTACGTCAGAAAGAAGTGTACGTACCAAGTTTCGTTACGATAGCTCAATTTTTACTCGAGTTATCGTGTGCACAGACGGACGGACAGACGGGAGGACAGACGGACGGACGGACGGACGGACAGACAGTCACCGCTTAATCGAGACNCTACGTCAGAAAGAAGTGTACGTACCAAGTTTCGTTACGATAGCTCAATTTTTACTCGAGTTATCGTGTGCACAGACGGACGGACAGACGGGAGGACAGACGGACGGACGGACGGACGGACAGACAGTCACCGCTTAATCGATTTCTCTTTTCATTCTGATCATTTATGTATACATTTGTCTATATATATCTCGATTCGTTTTGCCTGTTACAAACAACCGTTATGTGAACAAAGTTATAATACCCTTGTGCACAAGTGCGCTCGGGTATAATAATTAGTCAAAACTTATGTGGCGGTCTTATAATTATTCAACGCTGTGTACTATTAACTTGTTTGACTTGTGTTTAGAGAAACTTTGAATTGTTAATTTATTCATTATTTGTGTGTTAAAATAAATATAAAAACAATTTTTGTGTGGAGAATTTGTCCTCCTCTACTTAATGTTAAAAAATTCTGGTCGCCTTAATTTAAGCTATCTTACAAATGCTTTTATCAAAATGAAAAATCTCCATATACAAATATTGCCACTGACAAAATTTATACATATCTAGCAAACAAAATGAGATATGGTAGGAAATAATTTTCAAATGTGAAGACGCGTCCTTAGCTAGTCTTTCAGTGTTGTAAAGGATAATACGGCTTTCCTACGGCACCGTGGATTAAATACTTTGTTCGCTCCTCCAATTACGATCGCGAATTACTCTTTTCCCACGGGCGCATTCTTAATTAGATTAGATAGTTCTCTATCTCTGTGTTTTGTTTTTTTCTTTGCTACAAAATTTGTTCAAATAAGTAATTGCTAAAAATTTATAAATTTCCGTATTAAATTGGTGATGTACACATGTATAAACTTTACTTTTCGTACTCAGTGCCAGTTTTGATTTGTAAACTGGTGTCTACAAATTTCCGATTAAAATTAGAGACAGCAGAGATTTGTTCATAATTCGCATGGTATTTAATTGGATCTGAATTACCAACAAATGAAGTAATTCGCTCTCAAAATTTAGTATGGCGAATTACGTAACTCGAGGGGTAATTAGAGTGCGAATTACGAATGAGAGAGCAAACTACGTAATTGGGGTGCCGCGGGAAAGCCGTATTAAATATTATTAATTAAGGCTAAGAGGCGTTTACACTGTTCAACTTTCACGGGCGGTTAGTTGAATCAAAACTTCACATCATTTAACTGAAAGTTGACAATGTACACTCCTTTTTTTAATTTAAGTTACTCCTTAACTTAACACACTCCTTTTAAATATAATGATTGTGTACGATTAGGAAATAATAATATTCTGCACGATTTTTTTTTTTAAATATAACTATAAAACTTGAAAAGGAGGACAAGGAGGACATTTTCGCTCAAAAGGAGGACAGAGAAGGACAATATTTTTGAGATGGAGAAATCACGTCTGAGGAGGACAATCCTCCTCAAGGGAGGGTGGTTGGTCAGCTTAATATATAACGTTATATATTAAAAAATGTGTCCTTACAAAATTTACCTAAGTTTATTTTACGATGAAAACTCTGATAGTTAAATTTTTTAATTGTTGGAAATCTGCCAGGTAAAGTTTTTACATGTAAAGGTTGGGTTATGCAAGACTTAGACTTTACTTGATTTACCTAGAAACTTTGAAACGATTACTCAGCGTGTCACCTATTACCTTTTGTCCTTTACTTGATTCTCAGCACTTTTATTTGCACGCAAAATTTTTAACTTTTAATTTGTTTGGTTTGAAAATATGTAGATAAAAAAATTACAATTAAAATAAATGTATTCATGCGTTCAAAAGTGATTTTTTAATTTCTTTCTGTCTTTATTTGAAAGTTTGTTTTTCGATTGCCAGATGAATTACATTTATACAAAAAATTATATTTTCTTGGCATATTTGTAGGGATTTTAATAAAAATTTAAATGACAGCATTATTATCTCACGGCTCTCTTTGCACTTAGAAATCAAAAATCTATAGTTCTCCAAATTTCTAAGTGAAGCTTTTTTTTGTGTAAATACATACACACAAGTGAAGTCAAGTCTAAGTCTTGCATAACTGAGCTTTAAGGATTGATATATGTCTGCCAACAGATTTTTCACATTTCGAAAATGTAAAATAAATCATACTGTAAGTTATTCTTCTTTTTATTTTAAACTATTATTGAACAAGGATTCTTAAATAATGCTGTCAAATTTCAAATGATTTTTAGTGCGATATATCGATATTTCCAAAATGGTATTATCGATACGACGGTTTTTTCAATATCGCCACTTCGATATATCGAAAAACGATATTTTTGAAAATATCAACAATCTCACTATATACACACTCTAAATAAGATTGACCCGCCAGAAAATAATACAAAAGCAGTTTTTTGTGTTGTGTTTTCGCGAATTTAATTTTTTCCTTGTGTTTGATTATTCATATAGTGTTTCGGCTTAAAATTTAGGAACAAAAATATTACATTTTATGAAATTGAGCGAACTATTGGATTAAAACTCGAACCAATTTACAATATTTTAAAACGAATTGCAAGTTTTAAGAGTTTCAATTCTCTTATTTCTTTTAAAGTTTAACACAAGTACAAAGTTTTTGATTAATATTCGTTATTAGAGCCATTTTCTTCCAGACTACCTCAAAATAAAAGACGTATGGGTCGCTTTAATAAAATACTTTTTCTTTAGAAGTGTGAATACGTAGTTACGTATGTCAAACTTTTAAGATGTGTTTATGAGCTGGCTTCAAGCGCACTAGATTTCAACTTAAGTTACATGCGATATAATATGTTTTACAAACTTAAAGCTACAACAAAAACTTTGGAGTGCTTAAAAAATTCAAATGAAAATAGAGTTAGGTGATGGTCATCGATGAGAAAATAATTTGGTGTGGTTTAATGCGTATGTAGCTTAAAATGCGTACAATGTCTGTGTTTTTATTTTATTTTTATACTCTTCTATACATCTAATTCTCATTGCATTTATTTATACCCTACGACTGTCTTTCAAATTACAAATCTTTCAGTATACACCTTTGTACATGCATATGTATTTGGAAATATCAAATGTTAATGGTAGCTAATTTCTCTTTCTGCTCTTAATGATTACTCCTAATCATCCAAAAATTGTATATTTGTTGAAAATATTCACCCCTATAGGGAGTGTCGACTAATTGTAGATAAAGGACTGTTACCCGATTATCGACTTTCCATGGTATTGTAAATGTCCATTTCTTGGTCAATAAGCGACTGTGAAAAGTTATCAGTAGTTTATCCTTTCACAACTCTTTTTTGTAGAATAATGAGCGACTAAAACTATTCACACTCACTTATTGAACGAGAAAACGACATTCAAAATACCATGGATATTCCATCATCGACTAATAGTCGCTTATCTACTACTAGTCGACACTCACAATAGGGGTGATTGTATTTTACCTGGGAAGAAATTAGTAGTGGAAAATAAAGCACATAGGTTAAGTAGTATCTACAACTAAATACTTTCCTTAATGGAATCTGAAATTGAAATTGCAATTATCACACGTTGCATGAATAGAGCAAAAAATATTTTGAATCTAAAGAGAAATTGGAGATTAACGCTAAGTCCATTTCCACAAACTTTCAGCTAAATATATAGATTTATTTTTTCTTAGTTTTAAGTTTATTTTTCATTATTTCATTATTTAGTTGTTGATACTATAAACTGTAGATTATTTTAGATAAAATGGCTTTTCAGTTTGTTTGCTTAATTTTTACAATATTCTAACTGCGGCATGGAAAAGTAAATTACTTATATCGCTAAATAAGTTTACAATATTTAACTGTCTTCGCTATAACACAACAAAAGAAAAACAAAATTAAAATTCTTCGCTTTACAACCTTTTGTCATAGCGTACAGGTAATTCTGTGGTTAATAAAATATTATTTACTACCACGTACATAATAAAGTTAATTCAAACTACATGCACTTAAATATAAAATAATGAAACAACAATGATAGTTGCTCTAAAAATTAAGATTGATTTGGTTTGTGTGGTGCAAAACAAAAGTAAATTGTTATACACAGACTAAATAGCTATCTATATACGCCTAAAGTTTTAGCGATTTCTGCTCCATTAGAAGAAAGAATTTTATTTCTTTATTTTTGTCAAACTCCGTGACTAACAAGTTTCTATGGCTTATAAGCTGTTCGCTCTTGCCTCTGCTGTTGTACGCACTTTTACACGCTGCGCAATCAACTTGAGGCGCTGGTATTGCTTTTTGGCGAATCCTCAATAGTGGCCTGCGCCGGTGCCACGTCGTGGCCACTACTACTTTGGCCATTGACGCTGGGCAATGCTTCTATGTCGGGCACCACCACCGGTGGTGGTGGCGTAGCGCCTTCAGCGCGCGCTAAGCTCTGCCGCTGCTCATAAATCTCATCAACGAGCTTCTTAATGAATGGATGATTAAATTTGCCCTCTGTGGAATCGAAGAATTCTTGGTGTTTTAATAGACACTTATCACGTTTCTCATACTCAAATGCCTGCATAATCATATCGAGTCGATCCAGGTCTTTAACGAACTTCGATTCGGCGCTTTCGCCCGCTTCGTACTCCTGCGAGGGAAAAATACAATAAATAAACATCATAAAAGTACTTTAAACCATTATGACATTATACCTCGAATAATTCCATGATACGCTTGCCCCGTGGTTCAATCAGCTTGCAAATGTCTTCCATTGCTTTGAATTCCATTGCACGTTTGTCCGTCTTAGAAACGCCACAGAACGGTGTCAAATCGCCGACAACACTCTCCGCCAAATCGTGCACCAGCGCCAATTCCATGCAACGTATCTGATTGAGCCCTTCGCTGCCGTCTAATAGGAACGTCATCATGCTCATGCGATACATGTGGCCGGAGATGGATTCAGGGTCGCTGACGTTGCGCAGTACCCAACCGGTACGCTTTGTATGCTGTAATTATAGCATATTTAAAGAAATTGAATGTAATTAGTAAGAATATTAGGTACACTAAGAGCGAGTGGTTTTATTTCACATAATTATCTATACAAATAAACTAAACCAAGGCAAATAAAAATAAAGCTGATGAGCTTTGATTGATAAATGAAATTGTTATTGGAAAACTAATTAAATTATGGGCATTTATAAGCTTAGATCATATTCATATCTTATATGCTGATATTATTATTAAAACGTCGTAATGCAACCGTATGGGCAAATCGTTTTATATACTTGTACATTGTTCAAATATCTTTGAACACGAATACACATCTGCTTGGGTAATAAAATTAAATATGGTAAGAACTTTTAAAAAAATATATATATACAGTATATAAATAATAAATTTTTTGGTCTCGGCAATATGTTCAAACATCCTTGAACATGTATGCATACATACATACATATATGCCTGGGTAATAAACATTGGTAATCATTTGAATATACAAAAGAAATATAAAAAAATTTACACTTGTACCAATACATACATACAGTCCACTAATTCACACTTAGGCAAACGATGCAACTGCCACATAAGCCGCAGTGCAATATCAATACTTGTATACTACATATATGCAATAGAAATATACATACACTTACATACGTCGTAGTGCATCATCAGATTACGTATTTACTGATAAAATTATAAACACACATAAATTGCAGCGCATACGGGAAACATTAAAATGTCAATGCTGCAAAGCAACGCTTATGGTGCTAGAAATAGAAAATATGTACATTGCTTATCAATATTCTTAACATGTAAAGATATAGTATTATTTTATCTTTTGTAAATATACATACATACACACATATACATATGTACATATACAATTAGTAAGGAAAGATAAAGTTATAGTTTAAAAAACTAAAATCTCCCTATTATAATTGCCATTCGTACTGTCATCAGGTATGTAACTTGAGAATAGAAATCGCTGCATCTTTTAGGCTCATCAATATTACGTAGTTACATCCCGAGCTAATAAAAGGAAGGCAAAATAATAATAATTACATCCCGAGCTAATAAAAGGAAGGTAATAATAAAATAAGAAAATTGTATATAAAGAAAAAATCTATATATTAATACGCTAACATAAATTTTGTCTCCGTTCGTTTGGCGATTCTACCGAACCGATTTCAAAACCAAGAACACCGTTGGAAAGGCATTTTTCCGTGGTTTCACAATTGGTTGAAAATTACAGCCAAAACCGTCGTTTAAACATTTTCGTATTTGTGTATAGATGTTGCTGCAACATGTTCAACTTGACATGTTTCGCATGTTGTTTCACTTCACATTTGAAATAAAGATAAGTATGAAGATGAAGAAATAAATGATAACGATGAAGTCAAAAAAAAGAAGACTAAAGTGAAGATAAAGACGAAAATGGAGACAATGACAGATACATAAGAATTAGGGTAACTGAAAGGGTAAGAACATTTCTTGAATTTATGAAGTGAAACTTCAGCGGCAGTTGGTTGGGAGTAAATTGTCAAATTCAAGGGGAATAATGCACATGGAAATGGTTCTCAGCGGTTTAGCTGTTTGAGAATAAAAACAGCAACAAAGATGCCTAGAGGTACAGGAAAAAACGAAGATCAAAGTAAATTTAAATACTTTAAGGTAAAGGTGAAGAGTAATATGCAAAAATAAAGATAAATATGAAGAAAAAGATGAGGATGAAGATCGATACAAAACTCGATTTTTTATCGATATAATAATCGATATTGCTATCGATAAAATAATCGATATTGTTATCGATACTGTTATTGCTTAAATAACCGCTATTGTAATCGATATAATAATCAATATAATAGTCGATATTGTTATCGATACAATAATGGATATTGTTATCGGTATAATAATCGATTAAATAATTGATTTTTTTATCGACTTAGTCATTTATATTGTTAACGATACGTACAATAATCGATTAATTAATTGATTTTGTTATCGATTTAGTCATTTATATTGTTAACGATACGTACAATAATCGATACTGATGATTGTTGTATTTATCGATGAATTAATCGATTTTACAATCGTTGTATTTTTCTATATGTTTATGGGTATTGTTATCAGTATTTTTATCGACACAGTTATCAACAGGGTTATCGACATACTAATCGGAACATGGAATGTGATCACATTAAATGACATCGCATCACATTTATGATATGAAGAGACATCACATGATATTACATCACATAATATGATATCACATCACACGATATCACGTGACATGACATTATATGATATGACATCACATTATATGGCATGGCATCACATGACTTGACATCACATGATATGACATCGTATGACAAGACATGGCATTACATGACGTGGCATCACATGATATGACATCATATGACATGACATCAGAGGATATGACAACATATGACATGACATCCTATCACATCACATAAAATCACGTCACATCTTATCACGTCATCGAACATCATCTCATTAAGAATTAGGTTAACGGAGTTAAAATTTTCGGATAGGAATCGAAATAGAATCAGCCATAAAGGTTACTGAAATTTATCGAATCATCGAAGTTTATAATTATCGAAAGTTATCCATGCTTATTAAGTTATCGCAACGTATCGAATTATTCAAACTGATCAATGTTTATTGAGTTGTCGAAATTTATAGACACAGAAACTTAGTTGTCCAAATTTACGGATAGTTATCGATATCGTGTGGGATTAACGAAATTTGTCAAGTTAAAGAAATGTATCAAGTTATCGATATTTATTGAATTATCATTATTTATAGACTTAACGAAATTTATCGAGGTGTCGTAATGCATTGAGTTCTTTCAACTTACAGAGCTATCGATAATTGTTGATCTACTGAAATTGGTTATCGTAATTGGTCGAGTTAACGAATTTTGTAGAGTTATCGAATTTTAGTGTTCTTGAAATTCATCGAACTATCGATATTTATCAAATGATTGAAATTTATCGATAAACTTGAAGGTGTCGGCTCAATTCTAAGTCCTGCCGAAGTCCTCCAAAGACCTTCTCAGATAAAAAAAAATTTAGTTACGTTTTAGCAGAAGATTTTCCGGTTAGTTAATTTGTACCGTATAAGTTTTGCTACGTGTTATGTTAGAAAACCTCTTCAAGGCTTCTAAAACTAGAAAAACTGTCGAATTTCGACAGTAACTGGCACTCTAGTATTTAATAAATGTTTAGATTCGTAAAAACTCTCAACTAAGAATTTCTTCTCCGCGTCCCACTTCTTCTTTTATTTTTATTTTTATTTTTATTCTTTACTCCCCCCACCAGAGGTTGGGGATAAAGAATATATATTTCCATTGCATATAGTATACAAGTATTGATATTGCACTGCGGCTTATGTGGCAGTTGCATCTATTGCCTAAGTGTGAATTAGTGCAGAGCTTCTTAAAGTGAGTTCCGCGTAATCCAAGGGTTCCGTAGAAAAGTCACCGGGGTTCCGCGAAATTAATTTTGGTATGAATAAGTACGGCGGTCGTTTTGAGTTGCACACAGAAAGAAAAGTTTTATAAACATCTTGACCGACACGCAATGATCTACTTTCAAGTAGTTAAAACTCAAACAGTCAACGACGTAACGTAGACGTAGGTTGACGCAGACACGATCTACCTTATGGGATTCGCGTGTTAACGAAAACTCACCACCGCATGGCGGTGACATTGCCGTTGCTTCTCTCTCGCTCTATCAACAGTAAATTTGATATGCTGCTTCGTACGTCAACCTACGTTTACGCTACGTCGTTGACTAACTGCGCTTTTAGTGTGAATGTAAGAGCGTTGAGCTTGCGCTTGACAGCTTGCGCTTGACAGCTTGCTATTTTTTCTACTTGTATGTGTTGTTGGCCGCTGTAGCCAAAGTGTTGTATACAACTTTCCACAAGGAACGCGATGAATTACCAAATGAAATGTGAAATGTCATAACTGGGCATTTGATAAATCACCTGAAACCTTCGTCAGATTATTTTTCGGATGGTAGTAGTAATATTGGTTTGGTACAAAATCCATTTACGAAGCATTCATAGATCTTCAGAGTACTTCGACATTAAAACACATTAAATATCATGAAGTCGCTAAAAAGGCCATCTTAACGTACTCTGTCAACAGAGTTTTCAGCTTACACTTATACAAAAAACAAATCCAGGTCGAAATTAGATGCTACCCCAGAGAAGCGCATACAATTTTCAGACATTATACCGAACTACTATTTAACCGACTTCACAAGAGAAAGGTTATCAATTCGTCGAAATATTTATTTTTTATTTTTTTATGTATGTTACAGCATAACTTTGGACCACGTTAGCCGATTTCCACAATTATTTTTTTAAAGGAAAGGTGTTACCTCACAGGTCGTCCCATATTATTTTGGTATAAATCTGATCATCGGATCATGGAGAAATTAACGATAATCCAAAATTTTTATATGAGAATTGAAGTCGTTTTTGTTTTTTGCTTAAAAATTACTTTTTTATACAATAATTAACAACAGTGAAACAATTTCATTCCTTACATCAAAATTTAAGGTATGTATACTATTTCTAGTAAAAGTTTTTATTCATATGTATATAAATTGCAATGCCTTTGAATTTTAGTAATTTGATGTGGGGTTCCATAAAATTAATGGTGTTTAGTAAGGGTTCCACATCTTAAAAGTTTAAGAACCTATGAATTAGTGGACTGTATGTATGTATTGGTACAAGTGTACATTTTTTTATTATTCTTACCTTCCTTTTATTAGCTCGGGATGTAACTATGTAATATTGATGCGCCTAAAAGATGCAGCGATTTCTATTCTCAAGTTACATACCTGATGACAGTACGAATGGCAATTATAATAGGGAGGTTTTAGTTTTTTAAACTATAATTTTATTTATATTTCCTTTGTTTATTCAAAAGATTACAAATGCTTATTACCCAGGCATATATGTATGCCTGGAT